CCAGAATGTGTTGCTGTCTTTCAAAATAGCTTTGCAGGGATTTCATCCATCCGATCTTCTGGCTGGCTAGAATTTGCCCATTGCTTAGGATCTGCTGGAGATTTTAGTCAAATCCTTGATCCCCATTTTCTTTGAGCAGGACTTTCTTTTCCCTTTCACATCCTTCTCCTCAACATGGGATTAGCAAAAGCAGGTGTAAAGTTGTTCTTTTCTAATCCCTCTTGCTCCTCAGGTAAGGAAGTAGCAGCTCAGCTTTGGGAAAAGAGACCTCAAGGTAAATTTCTCAATCTGTATTTAGGTATCTCCATGGCCTGATTTCCACCAGTGTTGGTTCCCACTGATATTTGTGCCTTGCTGGTGAGCCAGCATATCTTTCATTTCTGTCCCGACTTGTTCAGCTGGAGGCTCAGAACTGGTGTAACTCCAGTCACGGATTGATAGGAGATATCAGGCTTTTAACATTAGAAAGGGATAGTGCAGTTCTTATGGCCGTTAGCAAAAGCCCACTCACAGCTGTACTTGTTTTCCATGGAATAACAAAATTCAGTCTGCCCTTCCATAGTGCTTGTGCACATCTTAAAATCCTAGGAAAGTCCTTTTGAGGTTTTCCTTCAAATCTACTAAAACAAGATGTGTTCATACATGTTAATATTCACGCTCGCTCATGTGAATGTTTTGTTTCCTTGCCTGTGCTTTATTACATAGTAGTATGTTCATGCTTTGCTATTCAGCTCCTTTGAGACCAATGTATTGACTGTGTATTACTTATCTAGAAAGCATTAAAGCCCTAGTGCTGATGTCTTGAAGAACTTGATTTAAACTTCTGCTTGAGCTCTAACTGCAGACATGGAGGACAGAAATAGCTCTTCAATGACAAAGTCACCACCCTGCCAAACATTTTTAAAAGCCTATAAGCATATGTCTGATAGGATATAAGCCAACTGATATTCCCCTGTTATTCTGTTTTACCTGCAGCATAAAGGAGTAGCTTGTAACTATTCTTCATGAGAACATCTTTTTTCAACATCCTTCCCAGTATAAATCAGCAATATACTAATTTCTGCAGCTGTCCCTCAGCTTCTCAAGTAAGTCACCAGCTCACCAGCTCTAACGGTAGCAATGCAGGAATACCCAAATAGGCAAATAAACTTTTTTTCCAGCAGAAGTGTGGCCATAGGCAGAGGTCATAATGGGTTGCAGAATCAAAGGACAGCAAAGGAAGTATTGAGCTTTCCGTCTCTGTTGAGCTTTGTGATGCTGTGGCCTGATTACTACTTGTACTCAAACTTGCCAGTTGATGAACTTGCTCATACATCAGTACTCACTGCAGCTACGGCAGTGGCAGCAGGATTTGCATGTGCCACCGCAGCCACAGAGGGGTACGTTTTCTCTCCTGCTAGGCAGAGCTTGCAGGAGCAGTAGATGGGATGAGGACATTAAAAGATAGAATACACAGATCTGGAAGCTTCTCAGATTTCCCTCCTCATGTCTCTCAGCCATTCTGTGTCCTGGGAATACATCTACTTTTTGCTCTTACAAAACAAAGGAGCTTGGTATTTTCAAAGATCCACTCAGACCTCGGAGGTGGGGCCAGGTGGGAATTGTGACTGTAAGCTCTTGGTGGTTATCTCAAGTCTTCTTTTGACTTTGAGGAGAGTCTGGCTGCCAATGGCTCCTTAGGCAGCTCTTCCAAAAGAAGTGTTCCAGAGTTAGGACAGGGGAAGAATTGTGCGGAAAAGAAACTATAAAATAAAAACATTTTTGGAGTAAAGCGTAGTACATTTCTTAAATGATAAGAAATACAACAAAGAAAATCCAGTGAAGCAGGACAGGATTTAAAATATTGCACAAGTTTACTGAAAAGTTAGAACACAGACAAAAAGAAAACAATTTGCATTTTGGTAGTCAACTTATTATGGGACACATGGCTCCTATACATAAAATTGAAAATGAAATCTGATTTGACTGTGCTTAGTATTTGCGTAACTGACAGGTGTAAGTTGAGTGTACATCAGTGGTAGAGTGCTAGCCTGAACTTGCCAGAGAAAGCTCTGCCTGAGGCTCAGGAGACCCTCAGGAAGAACAGGCACAGAGGACAGTTTAACAGAACAATTAGGCTTCAGCCTAATTGACAAAATCTATTTTAACAGCAAATAGATTTTCTGTAATAGCCTCAGAAGGTACAAATTGTCAGAACTAAGAGCAGTTTGTTGTTGTTTTCTTTTTTAAATGCTTAATAATTTTAAATTGCTTCAGCTACTGGTTATATTTCACCTTGAATTAATGTCTCGTTTTTCTTCATCCAAGAGGAAGCATCTCTCTGATCTTGTGTTTCTTTGATACAGCATTTCCTTCTTTCCTTGAGGAGAAAAATGAGCTGGGGATTCCTGCGTGACCTGCTGAGTGGAGTGAATAAATATTCAACAGGAATTGGAAGAATTTGGGTAGCAGTTGTGTTCATATTCCGCTTACTGGTTTATATTGCGGCCGCAGAAAACATCTGGAAGTATGAACACGATGAATTTGAATGCAATATCAAACAGCCTGGTTGTGAAAATGTCTGCTTTGACCATTTTTTCCCTGTCTCCCACATCAGACTCTGGACTTTGCAATTAATCATGGTCTCCACTCCTTCACTCTTGGTTGTTTTTCATGTTGCTTACCGAGAGAACAGAGAGAAACACCACAACCAGAAACTTTATAAAAGACCAGGACAGCTAGATGGTGGATTGCTGTGCACTTACCTTATCAGCCTTATTTTAAAAACAGGATTTGAAATAGTTTTTCTTGTTCTCTTCTATAAATTGTACAATGGATTCAAAGTACCACGTCTTGTGAAATGTGACATAAGACCATGTCCCAATACCGTAGACTGCTATATTTCCAAACCCACAGAGAAGATGATTTTCCTCTATTTTCTGGTGGCAACTTCATGCCTGTGCATTGTATTAAATCTAAGTGAATTGAGTTACCTCATTTTCAAATACTCCATAAAATGTTATCTGAAGAGGTACATCAAGAAACGTCAAGGCTCAAAAAGTGATTGCCACAAAGCAGAAATCATCAGTCGCAACAGACCAGCAGCTGCAGGATGGTTGCACAACAGCTCCCCGTCCTTGCCTCTGAATATACAAGACAAATGTGGAAAAAAGCTCCCCGTTGACTTGGAAGAAGAAGGTCAGAGACCACCTTCCTGTTAGACAAGTTGTATTTGACGAATTGCTTTTCCAACCAGTGCTTTACAGAACTGAAAGAATAGTTATGTAGGAAATATTTTTTCTCTATTCGCTCCCCCTTACTTGAGTGGATAAATTCAATCGCATTATGTAAGTTATACATAGAATCATCTAGATCTATTCATGTTGAAACAAGAGGTGTAAAAGTCTGAAAATCCCATGAAGTTTTAATATAAACACAGATCCTTATGATAAATCATGCTGAAACACTTGCTCAAACAGTTGTGTTTTGAATATTACACAGAATTGCTTTGGTACCAGCAAAAAGAGGCTTTTTATATGCGGAGTTGGGAAAGCCTGGGATTAAGATGCTGAACAGGAAGGGGATGTACAGCATTTATCAAGTGGGTGGATCCGATAGCTGTTGAAACAGCGATCGGAAAGCGCTGGCATACAGCGGCTGCTGGCGTCTGGAAGTGAGCTGGATGGTCACAAGCCTATTCCACTGGGCTACTGTAAAACATCTCAAAAAAAGAAAAATTAGTAAGAGGCAGACACACCTAGTTTAGCCCACAGTAATAAAGACAGAGCTAGTTATTTAGCTATTTGTGGAGCACCTCCTTCTGGAGGTATTTGAGCCTTTTACAGTTTTTAGGGTTTTTATCATCAGAACACATCCTGTAAGAAAAGGTACTTACTCTAACTTGCGCAGGCAACGTATAGCAGAGTACAGAGTTAACTCCTGGTCACCTGCACTGAGCAGCTCCCGAGTCATTAGACTTTTTTTCTGCTCTGTGGCTGTGGCATTTAAGGGGAAAGATCATTCCCAGTTCCCTAGGGTCTGAGTAGAGAAACATAGACCGCACAATACGGCAAAACAGTAGCCAGCGGTCCTAGTATTCAGTAGCCTGGAATCTGATCCCTTTAGTAAGGCTGAAAATACTGCTACTCCTTCAGTAGATTTCCCTGCCACAGAAGAACATGTGAAATCTAAAAATACAAAAAGCCTCCAGTAGAAACAAAGTAAATAAGAATCAGCTATTCCCTCCCCACAAATTTCAGAGTCTCTCTCAAACACCACGCATCTCTGCTCTTTGTTATATGCGTCATTTGGGCTAACAGGAAAGGGATAGAAATTACCCAAGATGTGTCTTCTGTTGGACAGAGACTTCTGAGACAATAGAAATTAAGTACCTAAAAAGACTTGTTTCAGGGTAGTGTTCTCTTTCCATCGCTAGGATGAAAGACCTTTGGACATACATCAGTACTGAGCCTAATCAAAACACCCTTTAGAGAAAAATGCTGCCTGCAATAAGCGGAGCTGCCCAAATGTTGAACTGATTTTATTGTTCATGCCAGGATAAAGAGGAGGAAACAGTAGCAAAGGCACGTTAACTACATTTCACTCGAAAAACCCCAGCTTTGGTTACCAAATATTACTTCTATGAGTACTGGGGTGGCAGTTACAGAATTAACTTTAAGAACTAATGAATAAACTACGTGCTTTTGACTGTGATTTTCAATCTTTTTTGCTAAAATGAACCGTCTTTCATAAAAGGTGAAAATAACATTTGCTGCTGTTGAACTTAACAGTGACAGCAGTCTCTCAGATCCTAGCTTGCCAGCTTGTGGCCAGTTAAAGTTTTACATCTCGAGTGACGCTGAATCAGTGTGTATATCAGGACAATGCACTTTACACAATTCAGAACATTTTCTGTAAGATCTCTGCATACACAGAATGCGGCTCATGGCAGAAATGCAGTTAGAAACTCTTGCAGCTACTGGACAAAACCCACCGAGCAGCGCATGAAGAAAAACCGTCGCCCATCAGCTCTGTGTAACTGTGACTGCCACAGTTTGAGTAACTGAGAACAAAACCCAAAATTGTCTTGGCCCTTTTGTACCCTAACGCATCATTTTTTTCAGACAATGGCAACACTATCAAAATAAAAAATGCTTCCAAAATGACTGTTCTTTAATTATTTTAAGACAGCACATTAATGAAAAAGTATTCTTTTTTTTTAAAGCAAGGTTTATTTGAGAGAAAACGAAAAGCAGACACAGTTTAGCCAACACAGGTTTCTGATTAAATTTGTGCATTAGCTGCTTTCTAATAAAAAAATATATTAAGTCAGAGCTTGAAGGGTTTTAGAGCATCCCCTAAAGCTCTGCGGCTGGTCACAGCTTCCTGCTTAGACCAAAAATTTTCCTTTGAAACAAGAACTTTAATTCTTTGGAATGTATATTCAAGGTTTTATTTCTAATTCCTACCTTCAACAGTCATGAAATGATAAATAAATTCCAAAAGCAACAGGTTTCAAGTCTCGGAGGATACTTCAGTTTTGACTAAGCCAGTACCTTACATGAGAAATATTCTGAAAAATTATTATGGACCAACTCTGTGTAACCCCTGACTCACTCGTAGCAAAGAGCCAAGTGGCTTTTTACACCATGTGCTGCAAAATTAGAGGAGTGTGTGACAGAGCCACTAATGAAAAGGAAACGAGCATCACACAAGGCAGCTCTGTCAGATTTTACTTAACTGAGACAACAGGAACAAACTCATCCATTTTCTGAACCCCTGCTCTTGGCCAGCATTTGGTCTTTTACTGGCTCTTTTCTTTCCACAGCCCTTTCCCCACCTTTATACTCTGTTGTGCTCCGGTTTAAGTTTCACTCATCCATCCATCCCTGAAGTTGTTTGCTCTTACATTTTTGGTTCAAATGAGTTTGTAGACTCAGTCCCTAAACTAAAGGTTTAAGGGCTTTTTTGTGTATTCAACTTCCAAGTCACTCAAACAGACAAAATTAAAAATTCAAGTGCTTTTTTTTTTTCTTTTTAAAGTGTAGAACTACAGTCTCCTCAAGCACATGGCAACTGGTAGGAAGCTGATCTGAGCCCATACTGGAATGGAGAAATAACATGATCACTCCATGCACATTCATACAAAAATATTTACCTCATTCATATTTCAAAACATCTCTGCAAACATTAAAAGATCCAAGTTTTACACAGATCCTTGTTTTCTTTAAAACCCAAGTAATCTCCTTGCCTTGTGACAGATGAGGTTTGAAAAAAAAGTCACAGAAAAAAGCAGGGCACGAGCAGGAGCTGCTGCCCCAACTCCTGCTTCAGTGAGCTCCTCTAGCCCTGGGGGCCTAAACCTCAGGGCAGCATGCCCGCGTGGGTGGGAGCACCAACCATACTAATTCTTTGGCACAGAAACTAACTGCAAGAATATAGCCAACTGCTTTTCCTCACCTGAGCCAATGACTGTATTCAGTGTTACTTCTACAAGCATCGCTCCCTCCCTATTCAATAGCTGTAGACAGAACACCCCAGCAGAACGCTCTAGGACCAACAGTCCCTCCATCCTGCTGAGAACAACCACCCCAAAACACGTGAGGACAAACCCACTGCTCTTATTTACACTGAATTAGGGCTCAGACAATATAAGGTTTCTTTATAAACATAGCTAACCACAAGAGAGGCGGACTGCTTGTTTAAAGATATCTTTCAGTCGCCAAACAGTCTGTACTCTGCACCCCAGGCTCCTCAATTTGATTGCTTCCCTATCAGCAACTACTGCTGCTTTAGTCAGCACATTCCTGATGGTGAGAAGGGGTTTAAAATAAAGCGTCTTTGCTCAAATGCACCGCAGTTCATGGGTGACGTGTCTGGAAGAGAGACACAGAGGAGGAAGGAGAGAGGGGAGAAGACTGAGAAGGACCGGGCAGCAGGGCAGGGGCCGGCAGCACCCACGGGTGTCGGGGCACCCCGCAGGCTGAGGTGGTGCTGGAGCCCCATCCCGCCTGGCAGCCTCAAGGGCAGGGGTACGGCTCCAGGCTCCGGAGAAGCTGTCGGTTCGGGCATGCTGCCACAGCGATAGCAGGAGGTATTATACATCACTCGAGGTAAAATATCTAAATGCAAATACCTAATTTATTTCCTCAGGAACTTTTGGAGGTGGCATTATCAAACCACAGTGGCCTCTGCAGTCCATGACATCTTAAATCAGACCCTGCCTTCGGTCCCCCACTTTAAAATACTTCTTTTTTTTAAAAAGGAAAAAAAAAAAACATACTACCTTACCTGTTGGACAGGTTGTCAGTACCCACCTAAAAGGGAGTGTGCTATGGAGGGCACTGACTATATTGGTACAGCACCCACTTTAATTGGATTAATTGGGATAAGAATGAGACAATATTAAAAATTTCATTCTCAGAAATTCAGACCCTACATTCAGATCCAAACCAGAAATTATTTCCTGGATATTATTACTGTGTAGCTGAATAGTTGTATGCTATTCTCAGTCTAAAAACCGCAATGATACAGCATCTATCATTAGGAATGTCAATGCTGAAACTAACTTACACAACACAAAAAGGTATCTTCTAAAAATTAACAGTTGTGAGGTCTGTTGACAGCGACTGCAGTGGCTAGGTGCAATCTGAAAACAAGATATTTCAGACGAGCTTTGGATTCTCTCCAGAGGAGGTTCTCTGCCCTCTTCTCCCCTGCAGAAGATCCCCTCTGCAATCACCATGGCTCGCATCCAACAGCTACTCCATCCAGGGAGACCGCGTGGCCTCTGGTAGGTAGAACGTGGCATCATGTGCTTGTAACGATTATAAAGATCTCTCCCAGAGTTAAAACGCAAGGATTTGTTTTGGTTTTATCACTCTCAGACCGCACCTTTGGTTTACTAACTTGGCAGAATTATCAGTCTAGTCACTCAGAAAGGATCAAAAGCGAGAGGAGCAAATGGGCTCTGTTCAAATGGAAGCACGGGCTTTCTGAGAAGGTATGCAATTTAGCACCAGAGAGCAAACCAAGGGCTATGCCCATGCTGAAATGCAGTTGCCTTTCCACTTTTTCATACATAATCCTCACTCTCACAAGTCACTTCATTTGGTTGTAGGAATGTGCCCTCTGCATTGATATCCAAGTAAACTGTCAAAGATTCCAGGTGAATAGCTCAAGAGCAATCAAGTGTAGCATTTAATGCAAAGCTTTACATGGCAAGACAAGTTTATAGAAAAAAAAAAATCAAGCCAATCTCTCCCAAGATAAAGACTATTTTATATTACTGAAGGTAGGTCACATCCAGTAACGAGAATAATCCAAGAAAAATTTTTGGTACCACACAATCCAGCTGGCTTGTCCCATCCGACTTAAGCATAATCACGCATGAAAACCAACACCGTAGATTCCTGGGTACTGACAGCTTCCACCAACGCATTCACGCTTTTGGTTACTCAACAACCTGGATACCTGTCGTTTCGGTTAGCAGCATACAGAGAAATCGCTCCAACCCCGGGCACTACCAGCGGCACCGCTTCTGAGGCTCGTTCCAGTGTGGAAAAGAGAGAGTGGCGAGAGCGCTGCCAGGTACAGTCAGCAAGAGGCAGAAGAGCGCGGAGGGAGCCTATGCCATCAATAGAGCACAACCACCGAGTTTTTCTGTAAGATCACAATCTCACTTCCCTTTCAGAAAGTGCCTTGTTTATTCAGTTTTTAACGGTATGGCATAAGGACTCACGTATTTTATAGATAGATACCAAACTGGTATTATCAAAATAAACCATCTGTTTTATAAACCCACTATTTACAAAAACGGTTTCTGAAGTTTTTTTGTTTTGTTTTTTTAACAAAAATTAAACTATACACCAATCTAAGTTACAGAAACAAAAATAACCTTTATAAGATCACATGTATAAAACAAGAAATGAAATGTGATTTTATTTAAGGCAATACTGGGCTACTTCACAAATCACCACCTCAAATATATACACTGCTCCACACTACTAATTTTCTATCACATTCACAACGGATTCTTTAATACCAAATATTGTTTTAAATCTCCAACGTAGCAAACTATTTTTATTCACATTTCCATTTTTATTATGGAATCATAAATGCTTTGTATCCAATTAAAAGCAATGAAAAATGTAGCTATAAGAAAACTATTATATTTATGAGTTAACTACATATGAATATCATCCATAGATACTGGATGTTAAAATTTACAAAAATGAGAGTGTGTCAGTACGCTTAACCTATGAAATGTGATCTTATCCAGCTCCTCTCCTGTAAATAAATGCTTTATGCAAAATAAACTGGATATGGCAGACTTAGCTAGTTTTAGTTCAAAAGTTCTTAATTTAAAATGATTAAAGGACAGTTTTAAAAACTTGCTCACTTAGTTACAAATTAAAATTCCGAATATAAATGTGTCATTTAATAGTTTAGACTTACAGACTGCTGGTGGCAGCAAATGATTTACAATAATAAATATATACAAAAAAAAAATGTATCTACAAATAAAGAGTACTGTTATACATGAGCAGTGACCTGGTGAAAGATACCAATCACAGACAACTCACAAAGATTTAGTTCATGGAAAGGACAATCTGATAGAAAGTTGAGGTTTTGATCAAGTATTTACAAAACTGAAGCAATTACTCTGTTCTTCAAGTCCCATAGGGATAAAAACAAATAAGAAATTTACATGACTCATGTCATGTTTTTTGCTAGATTAAACCACTTCAAAATAAAAGAGCTCCACAGTTACTAGCATGCTTGATGGCTTCCTATTCAAAATACATTTTATTACAGGTCATGGTTAAACACATTAGGTTTTCAGTATTTTGACTCCCCTTCCTCGGTACCCATAACAATTACTTTTGCAGCTGTAACCTCTGGATTATCCTCCCAACGTCCTTCAAGCTTTCTCAAACTGACGATAGGTTTCATTTCCTGAAGTTGCTTCAACACACGCTCAGTGCAGTCTTTAAGAGTCTTGTCTAAAACTATCTTTACATTATCACCACACGGAAGCAGTGATGGGTTGGCAAACGGTACAAGGGTTTCAGTTTCAGAACATGACCAAGTGACATTATTACTTGCTACGGAGGTCTTCTCGTTGGATTTTCGCGAGTTCGAGTGGGATCCCTTTTTGGTTCCGCTGCTATGGTAGTCTCTTTCTGTGTTTTTCTTTTGCTTCACAGCAGACTCTTCAAGGAACTTGAGGAATGACACTTCAAAACCCATCGGCTTAAATGAGCTCCAGTCGAAAGCTGCAGGTTGCTCTTCGGCCGTTTGAATGGCGACAGCAGTCTCTTCCTCCCTCTGCATGCTACTCACTTCTACGGGCAGTACTTCCTCGGTTTTTTCGGCTCTCTTCCTCTTATTCTGAGTTACATTTTTTTCTTTGCTTGCTCTTTTTAAGTTGTTTGATTTTTGCTTTTCTGAGGGGCAGGAGCTGGTCTCCTGCAAGTCGCTATTTACACTAGAAGAGATTTTTGCTTGATTTTCAGCACTTGAACAATCCTCGTTAATCAGTTTAGTAATGAATAGTTCTGTCAATTCGTCCACTTCATCCTTCTCACCTTTTTCAGTTTCCTTTTGCGGTAACGTAGATGTGCTTGAATCATTATTGCTCGCTATCAAACTCGGTTCAGGCTCTTTCACATCACTTTTTTTATCAGTCTCCTCTTGCTCACAAGAGGCTTCCTTTACTTCTGAGACAGAGTGCTTTTTAGATACAATAAGAAGATTCCGGTGTTGGGAAGTAAATGCTTTGGACAGCTTGTGACATTTATAATGCCTTATTATGTTACTTTCGCTTGTAACTACAGACGAACATCCCTTTATCATACATGGATACTGAGTTATGAACCTGCTCGTACATTCCGATAAGGCATCATTTCTAGCCTTTATTGAATACACGTGCTTGCCGCGTTTCAGTGAATAAGCCTTATTTTCTTGAACTTGCATTCCTTTTGAGTTTTTGTTTTCCAAGTTCACAGTTTTCTTCCGTTTTGTTTTCACTGGCAGCCTGTTACCTTCTTTTCCTGATCTGTTTTTTAGTCCTCTCTGTTTGGACTTCAATGGTTTCTCCTGATTTGCTTTGCTTGAAATGTTTTCCTGACCTGGTGTCAGTCTCCTGGGTCTTATTAGATGATCTTTATGCTTGTCATTATGTTTGTTAAAAATATGCCTCAAGAGGTTAGACCTAGTAGCATAAATACGGTCACAGCCTTCACAGTCACACTTGAATACGCCGTCATCTTCTACTTTGTTTGGCCTTATCTTAATACCGTGATCTGCCTCAAGATGTACAATGTAGTTAAGATATGCTGTAAACGAAGACTTACATTGAGACTGATCACAAGAAAACCTTCCCACCTCTGGAGCCGATTTCATGCTTCCAATTTGCTCTGGGGTCATGTCATGAAGCTTCATATAATGTTGTATCAAGCTGGTAACTTCCTGGAAGATGCGAGAGCAGTCACTCACCTCACACCTGAACTCCCTGACAGCGGGTTTGGTTTCCACCTCATCACGTTCCTCTTTGCCTGGCTCATTCTCCTCCTCCACTTCGGCAGAGAAGGCAGGGAGGTCAGATTTGTGCACAGCTTGATAATGAAGGATTAGGTTTTGTTGTATCGTAAAAGCCGCGAAGCAGCCCTGATGGACGCATCGGTATGGTCTATAAGGGCTGTATCTAGTGGGAAACTCCAGAGATTTTGTTACGGGCTTCCTACGTTTTCTCTCTTCTTTTTCCTTCCTGTACCTTCTAACCTTGCGTACTTTGGGTTGTGCCTGTGTATCACCAAAAGAGGCTGCATTATGCTGCTCCGGTGGAACAGAAACCACTTGGGGAGGTTTTTCTAGCCTTTCAGGAATATTATTTTCTGGTAGAAGTTTTTCCAAGACTTTTACAGGCTCTACAACTTCCTTTATCTGAGCTTCTTTGACCAATGGAGCTGCAGTTTTGTTTTCTATTATTAGTGTCTGCAAAGTTTTTACTTCAACAGGTCGCGGGGTTGTGTTTGCAGTTTCATTTTGAGATCTTCTGCCATAAGGCCTTTTAATTTTTAATTTTACCATTTCCTCTGTTGTAAAATGATGTACAAGCTGACAGTGTGCTCGGAGATTAGAGTTTCTTGTGAATGTTTTTGGACAGGTAGCTACAACGCATTTGAATGGGGCATACTTCAGTTGATGTTTCTTAATTTCTAGTATCATTTCTGCAGTGTACTGATGAACCTTGCCATAGTGTTTAAATAATGCATCTTTTGTCATAGCGCTGTAATTGCAGCCTGGATCCTGACATACAAAAGGCTTATTAACTTTATCACTGAACTGAATGTTACTTGCCTCTGAAGATATCTGGACGAGGGGTTTACTTTCAGTTGACACAACAGGAACTGCTGGTGCTAGCGTATCTGCTGGAGGACACTGGGAAACAGCCTCAGAGACCTGAATGGGTGAATCATTTTCTAGTTTCAGTTTTTGCAAGCCCTCCAAAATTTCCAATATTTGAGTATCATCCTTTTGAGATGTCTCAGATTGAGCAGAACTACTCTTTGCAGCAGTGACATTCCCTGTGTGCACGGCAAACTCTGCGGGAGTGGGTAGTTTTACACTATGTGCAGAATTTCCCGAAGAAGCCTGTGCATTATTTACTTGCGAGTTCTGTCCTGAACCAGTAACGGTATCCTGAATTTCAGTTTTCACCTCAAGTATCTGCGAATTCATAGCAGTTTTAATTATTTCCAGGGTTTTTTCAAAGTTCTGCATAACATTGTCTTCTGAAGTCTGTTCCTCCGAATTTTCTTGCACACAAGAATTTACAGCCATCATTTGGGAATCCCCATTTTCAGTTTTTACTGTTAAAGGGGGTAACGTTGTATGAGCCTCGAGATTTGTTTTGAAGTTCTCTTTGATAGTGGCCATGAATAACTGATTGTCAACATTATTGAGTTTCTGCGTGAGATTTTCCACCGCCGCTTGAGAGCCACGATGTGCCAGCAAGTTGGACTGAAAACTTTCTCCCTGTGTTTGCACGTTTCCTTCAGTGCTTTTGGTTAGAAGTCCCATCGTTGTTGTATTATTTACTGCTACTTTCTGTGATGTATGGGGCGTAAGCAAGGGCGTAGCTGCTTTTCTCTTCCTCTTTGAAGCACTGGTTCCCTTCTTATTCAAGTTGCTTGATCCTGAATTCTTGGGACTACTTATAACTGAAACTCGGGAACTGTTCCCTGCAAAGTTTTGCGCTGCTGCAACAGTATTAGAAAATGAGCTAGGACATAAGCCATTTTCAATAGTCTTTAGCATTAAGTCCTCTGTTGCAAAAACAGGCAAACTCTTGCATTCATTTATTGGAGGAATTTTGGCATTGAGGGTCCTGTTTTGGTCTGTTAGCAGGGTACTGGGGTTACAGACTGTCTGCAGCAAAGGGGATGCGGTTGAGTTGGGGAGAACAGATGCATTTATCTGAGTTGTACCAGTGACGCAACTTGTTGTAACTACGTGTGGAAGCACTTCTGTGTTATCAAAGGTACTCGGGATGCCTGCAGTTTCCAAGGCTTGTTTTATAATTTGATTTCCTTCCTCATTCCCACCGCTATTAAAGTTAGTCACATTGGCCCGTGGAAACATAGTCTGCAGTAAGGCCGTGGAACGATTTTCAGCTGCAAGTAACTGGAGGAATGATGGATCTTTAAAACACGTCTCTGGATTGAAG